TGAGACCAACTTTTACAACGTTCTTCTTTTAAAGTGCGTTTTTTAAAGTTGTGCGATAAAGTTTTGCGCTTTTGAAATTAATTTAATTTTTACTTTTAAGACTAGTTTTGAAATGAATGTAGGCGTTCTTGCAATCTTCTACTACTTTTGAACATTCATTCATTATTATTACTATCAGTTGTGTTATGGTTTAAGCTGGGCCCGGAGAATTTGATTGTCAATAGAATAATTGCACAAAACTTTCTGTATGAGTCAAAGAGATCACTATTGTGAACTTTAAAGTTGATTAACATTTTATTAACAATTTGTTCATAACTATCCCAATTTACTAATTTCAGATTGCTGTGAAAAGGAATGTTGTTCAAGGAAATAGAGGGTTCATGTTGATCTCTTACGAGAGTAAATTTTGTGATAGTTGGCAGATGATAACTGCCTAAAGAGTCCTGATGAACTTGCCATTCACAAGAAAGAAATAAAGAAGAAGACACCATAGTTAAATCTAGACTGTTTGGTTTCCAAATATGAGAGCCTATAGTTGTAGGTTGACCATTATATAAAAGTATTATCTCATGGTCATTCATGGAATCCATAATAGCTCTGCCCCGAGAATCTATGCGACTACAACCCCAAAAAGTATGATAGGCGTTAAAATCGCCTTCAATTATCAACGGTTTTGGAATACTGTACAATAAACGATCGAACTTCGCCTTTTCAAAAGCAGGAAAACTATTACCAGGACTGTAAAAACAGTTCAGTTTAATAACAATTACTACATTTTGTAACGAATCATCATAAAAAGTATCTAGTTTAGAGAAATGTATACCATTTTTAATTAATACTAGTTTTTGCCCGCGACTTCGTCCGCGGTAATTTCGTTATTAGTAATATATGTATAGCTGATCGGGCAGACTGTATTTCGTCTTAGAGGCCATAAATAATCAGGTTTTTCCTTTTTAAATTGAACAGAATGATTGACATATTAGTTAGTTGTCAAATCTAATGTCAAAAAAAACTTTTGTATGGGAAATAGAAAAGGGCTGTTTTTATGGTTTTCCCAGTAATGAATCAATTTTTTTCAGCTTTTATACCTTCCCTGAACCTCCACGAACATTTTAAGACTAAGATAAGATAAATCCGTTCAGCTGTTCTCGAGTTTTAGCGAGACTAAGGAACAGCAATCCATTTTTATATATATAGAAGATTGCTACGCCATTATGATCATTACCGCAGTCATTCCTAATAATGGTATAACCACGTAAATTAAATTGAATGTTAGGCTTGAGCCAAGTTTCTGAAACTACATGTATATTATTTTTAGTCCAGGATACATGGCTGTTTTTTGCACTTGATTACTAACAAGTTAATTTTCCGTGAATAGCTTCGTTTCACCGAGACGCCCAACTTTTTCCTTTGCGATTTTTCTTGATAGTGGTGGCTAACTTAACTAGCAGAGATAAAATATATTGATTTGATAATTTTCTAAAATTTATTACTAACTGGATTTTATTATGTTAAATCTTATGATTATTATCCAAATTATTCGAAAAAAACTTTGTCCTACGAAATGTATGGTTTGATCAAAGAATCCCGCTCCCGGAAAAAATCCTGGAAAACTAGCTTGTTAGTAATCAAGTGCAAAAAACAGCCATGTATTCTGGACTATTTGGTATAAAAAAATTTGAAACTCCAGTCTGTTACTAACAGACTTTGAATGTTCCAATATTTAAGCCAATACAAAACAATATTTAAGATTTGGTGGTTGAATGTGACGATTTGCTATTTTTATCCTGGATGGTTTCTTTAATAGCTGAGCTAATAAATTGTGAAGTAATACTTATATTTTGAGTTTTATTTAAAGTTATAACTTTTACTATAGATTCTGTTAATAGGGTCATTGCTTCAGAATTTGATAGATGATTTGATGCTTCAGAATTTGCTTGGATTACTTCTTGGGTATTTAATTTTTTATTAAAAGAGGGAAAATTTAATGAATCTTTTAACGTGTCAACATATGACTTGGGTTTACTGTTTGCGATTTTCTTTTACCTTATAGGGCACTGGCTAACGATGGCAATGTGATTGCCATTACAATGAATGCACTTAGCTTTTTCAATGTTGACCTTGCATTCTTTGAAAGAATACCCCTCTGTGCATATGGAGCATCGCGGTGAATTTTTACAAAACTTAGCCAGATGATCATAGCGTAAACATTTAAAACACTGTTTTATAGGTGGGACATATGTGGAAACAGGCAGGCGCCACATCTTAATGTGAACGTAGTCCGGCAGTGACGTAGCAGACGTAGAAGTTATTACTACGCTCTGAGTAGGTTGCAGTGTGAAGGTGTTATTTTCTCCTTTTACTTTACGCATTATGCGTCGGACAGAAATGACTTTTTGTTGTTGATATTGTTTTATATATTTTGTGATTGGATAGATGAGTGGGCACCGAAAAGACAACTCCCGATAGTTCGGTGGCCCCTGCTGGTATTGGAGCTTTAAGTCGTTGTTCCTTTAGATATGTAGTATTTTCTAAAAAGGCATTTGCCAAATTCGCACTTTGGAAAACAACACCTACCTTATATGTATTTATTTTTTTAAATATTGTATACCTTTCACAAAGCGTATAAAACTAGTACTAAGCGACATCATGTCCCTATTACCGAGTGGGACATCATTAGTACTTTTGACAAATACTAAGAATTCAGACTTGGCTTCCGCATCTTCAGGGTATCGCCGACAATAATCAGCGACCCTCACCCGAATCCTTCTTTTTCGTTTTTTCACCATCTCTCCACATAAACACTTATATACAAACTAAGTTTTACTTCTTTACAATAAACGAAACAAAAATTTGCAAATCTTTATATGTATATATAAAAATTTCGTGTCACGTGTTTGTCCGCGATGGACTCCTAAACTACTAAACCGATTTTAAATTTGATTTGCATTCTGTGTGCATTTTAATCTAACTTGAAAGATAGGATAGTTTACATCTCAATTTATAGTCACAATATCATTATATTGCAAATTATTTGTCTATTAAAGAAAATTATTTGTCATTATTACAATTATCTGTTGACTGAGTTAAGTATTCGATAGATGGCGCTACGTTAAAAATACAAACGTCATATATGAGCGACTATTTAATAAAAGCATAACCACCACGTGTGTCTGAGGCTGAGGTATAACCTAAATTTATTTATTTAAAAAAAATGTAATAGATATTACTTGATTATAGGGCAATACGAAGTTCGCCGGGTCATCTATTTATAGTATAAAACTATTTAAAATAATTAAAATTTTCAAAAAGCCCGCGTCAACGTTTCAATTCCCGCGCTCTTTTTTTTCGGTTATAGAGTTAGGGTCGTTCCATACAATTTTTTATTTGGCAATTATTAATTGGCATACTGAATTGTATGTGACGTATGCTGTTGCAATAATTTTCACTTTCTATTTCTTATTAAGTAATAATATTCATTGATGAGACCAATTAATAAAGTAATAATCAGATAAATTATATATGGCTAAATACATTACTATTTTTAAGACACATTTTTTAAATAACCGACGTTAACGATAATAGTTCCGGAAATTACGAAATTCAATGAAATGTTTATTACAATCTTGCTATTTAAGCATTTTTGAAAAGACATCTCCAAAAAGTGCTAACGTCAAGGTAAAATATTTCTTACTAATACTCCCAACACTTTAAGAACCGATCAGTTTTATTTTAATATTGATAACTATTTTTATGTTTATAATATCATTTTACTGGACATTAAATTAATGTAGTCTACATTAGTTATTAGAGAACATAAATTGATTTCGGGGATATCCCTTAATATAAAATGTGTTTTGAAATCCTCATTGCGTCAGTCAGTCATTAACCATGTGATATAAATAGACGATTAATATAATAAATTTGTTTAAATATTAATTGATTATTTGTGACAATGTTTTTTCTATCTTGCAATTAACAAGTACTGAACGTAGTGGTGATAACATTTTTATTTATCAAAACAGGTAAATCTCTACTGTCAATAACTTTTATATTTTCTTGTTCTTGTAACAGTGCTTTGGTTGATTTTGTCAAGTTACATCATGTAAGTCTTTATTCCTAAATGTAAAATGTGTTATGCACGTATAAACGATGAGAAACAAAATTATTCACCATATGAAACTGTCATTAGTTTCAAAACAACCATGTTTTAAAAGCATCAACAAACCTATGTTTATTTGATATTTTAGTAATTTCACATATACATGAAGAGCCCATATTAAATACATACATTTAACTATTTCAATTTATATATTGTGGTTGTCAAGTACTATATTGTTGTTTATAGATAGAATGGTTTTATTATCAATGTATTCTGATTTAATACCTGTACTGAATTACTAATCTTGACAACAAAGCAAGCAAAACTATTCCACCTTTTCCAAAATCAAACAAATGGATTCTTTTCATATATATGACATATGGTTTCTAAATAACAAGGGATACAGCTTAAAAATTAAACATAACACTAATTAATTTAACACAAATTGTGACAAGATTGTGATAGATAACAAGATCCGGGAATCCAATGCATTAAGTATCATAAAACAACAGTTCAATATACAACCTCGGAATAACAATTTAAATAATTTTATTTTCTTTTAAACACAATGAAAGATAATTTTATCATTACTTTTTAGACTTATCATAATTCAATTAGAGATGCTCAAATATTAATTTCTTTATTTTAGTATAATTAAGAGTAGTAGAAAAAGTGTTTGGAAAAATATAATGCTAGAGCCGAATGATATGTATATTGTATTTTGTATGTGAGATATGAAAAATTGTGATTGAACATGATATTCTTTAAGAGGCTTGCGTTTTAAATTATTTATAGAGTAATACAGGTGATGGAAGTGTATGTTTTAATATTAAGGCAGTGGTTGTAGACATTTATTATAATTTGTATAATTTAAAGTCTTTTTTTAGGAGCTGACAATATGGATCCCAGGCGTGTTTATGTCTCAGGTAATTAAGTTCAAAGTAATTGACACATTTTAACTGAAAAACAATTGCTTTGTTATATAAAAAGATATATCATAAATAGAAGTTTTCAATGTATGCTTTATTAATTGATGTGATCGAGTACTTTTCAGGGTTCCCCAGCTATACACAGTCCCAGGACCTTATGCAAGCTTTTAGTGAATATGGCACAGTCAAAGTAGAAAAAATCAATAAGAAATATGCCGTAGTTTTGTTTCCCGATGAAGAGAGTGTCAAGGAAGTCATTAATGAATCAGGAAAAATTGTGAATTATGGAGAGTTTCTCGACATCAAACCTTACAACAAGAAACTTGATACAACAGCACCGAAAAGAGAATTCACAAGAAGTAAACAGAAAGGTAAAGAAACAGTTACATTTAAATATACTACTATGTACTTTAAATATACAGTAGAAACTCGATTATCCAGCGCTCAGTTATACGGACTACGGGCAAGTACGGACAAGACAAAATGTTAAAGCATAAAAGAGTGGTGTTGTTGAGAGTGGCGTACGTCAAATGACAAATTACCAAATATATACCAAATGAATATTATTATTTTAATTCATTATCACCAATTTGCAAATTACCAATTGTAGTTTTTAGTATATACATGTATCTGTATGTATATTTAATCTAAGAAAATGTATCCTTTAATTATTTATTAATAAACATTGATTTTCTTTGATATGTATTTGTTACTTTAAAAAAAAAACGTATAATATGATGTACTACATAAGCACAAAACCATCTTTTCTTCATACATTAGGTTATCCGGATTTTCGATTATCTGAATGGCTATCAACAACAATTAGTCTGGTTAATCGAGTTTCTACTCTATTATGTAATAAGTTACAATGGATAAATGGTTTATGTAATGCTGATCCATAAGCCACAGCACTGATACTTCTAAAGGAAGGTGAAGAGTTACTAAAAAGGAAGAAGAAGAATACTAACTTGAGGAATTGACAATAATGTACCTCAAAATAGAGGCAATAAGTATGAGGCAGCCTTTAAGTGAATACAAAATGTTGTTATGTGATAATCCAAGATTGTGACTGGTGGGTCATGTGAGTTTCGATCACTCACAAATCATTTAATTTGTCACTTTATATTATTATCATATTATATAAAACAGTAAAAATAAAACATATTAACGTGAGACCTTACAAGCGTCCTTGAGAAGAAAGAAACGTCTTGGTATGGGGATTGTAAAAATAACAAAAATTATCTGTTAACTTCACCACTATTGTAATAATCATTTTTTTCCTATAACTCTTTACAGAACGACGTCCATGTATTATTCAAATGAGATTCAGATGAGTGTGTACATTGTTTCCAGAGTCAATAATCGCTCCCCAGATGTTGGATCTGTCGGGTGACTTCTACCAGCAGCTGGACACGGTACTGTCAGCGGTCCGTCTCACGCAGCAGGAGGTATGCGCCATCAGCACGCTCTACAGTGACCTGCAAGACGCGCTGCGGACACAGTGGCCTGGTGAGAACCGATCACTCACATATTCAATAAACACTGAAAATGAAAATGAAAAATACTTTCAACAAAAAACAGGGAACACAATTACAAACATAACAATATTTTGCTGAAGTGATAACATGCCGAGATTTCCAGGGGCGTCCACACTAAGCGAGCTTGTATCGTGGATGAGTTATTTACGATTAACTATAACAAGTTTCACCTATGGTAGATGATGTGTTCTTTATAAAGATGTTACAAATGGCTCAAAAGTATTAAATCTAAAATATAGAAAGAAAAAGATACATAAACAAGTAAATAAAACGGAGTAACATATAGTAATTATTATTACGATGACAAAATATATATAAATATATACATATATACAGACATACACAAATATATACATATACAGACACACATACATACACATATATAATAAAGTAAATATATAAGATATAAATATAATTATCATGAATCTGAGATCACGTTTGTACGATAAGAATTTTTTCTGTATTTTCATAGGACAATGAAATTAGCCAATTATAGAGAACCTTTTTAGCTTCATTTAAAATGCAACTTCTTATGTCACATAAGCTAGTTACTTTATTACATACAAAGTGGCAAATAAAAGGATTGAAACGTCGTGCAAAGGATGAGTTAACAGTTGATACTGGTACTGAATACACTAGAATGTCCTTACGCAAACGATTACATTATGTTTCTTATTTTTTCCATGTCCGGCAGGCTGCGTGGCCACACCGTTCGGGTCCATCACCACGGGGCTGGGCATCAAGAGCAGTGACGCGGACTGCTTCGTGTCTCTGGGGACGGAGCGCATCACGGACGCCGTGGGTCGAGCCAAGCGCGCTCTTCTTCGTGAGCCGCGCGTGTTCGCGGAGGTGCTGGCCATCCCTCAGGCCCACACGCCTATCGTGAAGTTCTTCCACGTACCGACGGGCACCAACTGCGACGTGACGTTCAAGACGCCGCTCGGCGTTCACAACAGTAGACTCGTGTCCTTCATGTTGCACGCCGACCCTCGCCTCGTGCCCATGGCGGTGCTGGTCAAGTACTGGGCGAAGGTGCACGGCTTCTCCGGCAGCGGGCGCCTCACCAACTACGCGCTGACGGTGCTGCTGCTGTTCTACCTGCAGCAGCCACCCGTGTCCGTGCTGCCGCCCGTGCGCTCGCTGCAGGAGGGGCACGAACACGTTGTGGACGGATGGAACGTGGCCTTCGACGACCGCCTGGAGGCCCTGCCCGGCTCCACCAACACGTCCTCCATCCCGGAGCTGCTCGGCGGCTTCTTCCAGTATTACTCCACGTTCGACTTCTGTAAGCTCGTCGTCTGCCCGTACTTGGGTCGGCCGATACCCAAGGAAGCGTTCAGGAGGCCGTCGACCTTGCCGCCCGAGATGAGTCTGTACAGACGCAACGTGGAGAGTGGCGCGGCGGGGGCCATGAGGTTCGCCACCTCCATGTGTGTCCAAGACCCCTTCGAGCTGTGTCACAACGTGGCCTCGTGCGTGAGCAGCCGACTGTTCGAGGAGGTCCAGGCTCACTTTAAGTTCGCGGCTCTCGCTTACGACACAGACAAACTGAAAGATTGTCGACAGTTCCTCAGAACGATCCTCCTGCGAAAACCGAAAATACCGCGCTACAAAGCGAAAACGGAATTCAAAGCTTCGATATCGTCCTACGTCATACAAAAAATAGAGAGTCAGGATCGGCGAAGAATCGTCAACTACGAGATGCTCAGGATGTTTAAAGAAATGTGCAAGATAGAACTGAGCGAGCTGGAAGCTGACGAGAAAGGACCGACCAAGAAACGGAAAGACAAATACATGGGCACCGTCACCCGGCCTATATGGAGGAGGAAACAATATATGAAGACACACAGCGGCGAGGAACTGGGGCTCGTGGAGAGGCAGGCGAGGATCACGGAGGAGCTCATGAACAAGGAGAAGGAAAACATCAGTTTGAAGTTCTGTCTCATCCTCGCCTTCACTTCGGAAACTCACGCGAACGCCATCGTCAAACTAAAAGAAGGGGACGCGGCCGTGTTTAAAGAGTTCGGGACGTTTTTCCTACATATTATGCAACAGTGGTTCGGCAACTTACTGAAACCTCATCTGAAGCCGACGGAAAACAAGAAATTAAAGGAAGTTAAAGAGGGCAAGGAGAACAGAGAGACGGAATTGGACGTGACCTTGGACGGAGAGAGACGGGACGGAGATGATCACGAGAACAGCCTCAACGACACGTGTGACACACATGACGACGCGAGTGACACGCATGATGTCACGAGTGACACGCATGATGTCACGTGTGACACAGAAGATGTCGAGACCAAAGTGCCATTAACATAATGCAGAGATGATATTAAAGTTGATAAATAAATAATGAAATCATGATTAAATTTTGTCATATACATATTTAGAAACACAGTTTTTAGATATAAGGGTTCTTGAATATGTATCTTTTTTAAATAAACGAGAGATCTTTGCGATCCATTTCTTGTTTCATTTCCACTTTCTGTTAATTTTTTTAAAGATTAGTTAAAGTTTATGAAAAGTTGCCATGATCTCCTTAAAGAAGGTAACTTCAAATTGGATTCTAAGAAGTCGGAATTTTTATTGTTGCTTGTAAGAAAACATACAAATACAGTGCAAACTCTATATAACGACACTGAAGGGACTGTGCATTTTATGGCGTTATTGAGAGTTTTCGTTAAATAGAGAGAAGAAAAATCAGAATTAGAAAAAGACAAAGATTATTTCAGACTAGTGTTAGTTAGTACTTATGTACATAAAAAAGAATATTATTCGAACGCTATTGCGTGTAGTCTGTTATTTTTGTTTGACGTCTTTTGCTTGCACTAGTAATGTGTTGTATTTTTTTACTTATTTTATTCATATCTTGCGATATTGAGGCATCTTGGTGATAAAAATAATTAACAGTTTCTTAGATTCATCTTTCCTATTGTCTAATATTGAATTTTGTTGTCCACGAATAAATTCTAGGTATAAAACATTATTTAATGTGCCGATTTGTAAAACGAAAAGTACTAATAATATCTTCTTATATGGTAGCTGCCAAAATTATAATAAAGTTTATTCAGATATCTAAATATTATTCGAAAAAATGTATTTTTTTTAAAATAAAGTTAATAAGATTAATTTATGTATCAATTCATAGTTTGTTTTGACGCGTATAAATGTTTTGCCTTTAATTTAACTAACCGATGTAGCCATAATGCCTTCAATTTTGTTTAATGTATTTTGCTACTTCTTTTTTAAAAATTTTGTTTCGTTTAATTATATTTATGTTAGATTTTATTCATAACTGCCGAAGAAATTCGTCAGTATACGTTTTTAATGTTTGATTTTATGTATGTTAGTCTTTTTTTTAATTTTAATAATATGGGTCTAATTACCAGTGGAAACTTAGCTGATATATGTAATTTTGTATTTTCATATCCCATAAGTTTATCTTATTGTTTGTTTCCCTAAAATAAAATAAAATAAAAAACAAAATAATAATACAAAAAAAATTAATAATTTTCCAATAATTTAGCTGCTTCCAGAGCTTCTATAATGCTCGGCGGAGGCTCAGGCTCATCTGTCTCATCTTCTTCATCTCCTTGCTGGTGATCCTCAGTTTTTCTCACTGAATCTAAAATTTCCTCGTCTGTGAGTGAAGCCGTTGTAAGGAGGCAGTCATCTACTTCCATGTAGGTTTGAAGATTTACCGTATTTCCTGCCATGTTAAACTGTTGAATCCCCTCAGTTAATGGAAGTTCGTCGTCACTATCAAACTCAGGTTCCGTTTCCACCTCACCACTCGTAGAATTGGTAATTTTACCCATGGGCAGAACTTGAAGGTATATTTTCTCGAAACTTCACAATCTGAGATTGTGTGTGTGTGTGTTAAATTCTACAAAAAGGAAATGTGAATATTCCCGTGTCACATTAACAAGTGAGACTGCTTAATATTTCGGTTAACTGTAAGGAATCGACATCTCACAAGATTGCTACAAATTAAAAATATATTTTATTGTCACTACTAATGTATTTTGTTCCATTTTGCATCTGAACAGACTTCGTTTTGTGGAAGTAACACTTTAGCAAAAGTAGGCCTTAAGAATATGACAAAAGTTATAAATAAATTATATACCTACTTTTTAAATTGTTCAAAATGACCTAAGATTTAAAATGATGTTAGATGACAAATAAACTGACTAACAGCGGTCACTTGACTCTAGTTATTATAACTACAAAAATTAATTTAAGGATCTTAGTGATGACCTTATCCTACCGTTCGTCACCGATTAAATGTTGGATTCTAATTGCTGGTTTGTCTTTAATATATAATATGGTATATATTGATTTTTTTCAGTAAACAAGAATGCTTGTTAAAAGTAAATTAATATAAAGAAAAATTATAGATTTTTTTATTAAAAATACTTTTGTATATTTTTATACATATGCTTATAGCCTGTATGTTACTACAATGAATACTATTGAATTATCGAAACAGTTAAATTGATACATACTTAAACCGACCAAAATCAGTGTTTTACCGAACCATCTGCATTACATATGACGATTAATTACAATTGATTACTATTTACCAGATATACCAGATCCACACAATTATCTAAATTTAATGTGAAAATATTTCTTAAGGACTGAATAGGATTAATATTTTATAAGGAGGCGTCGTCGCGGTTAATACGGAGTGTTAACAGTGTAATCATAAATCCTCGCACATTTTTTTCATTTAATATTTATGTTTAGCAAAATGCAGGTTCATAGTGTTAGCTTTAACGATTATAGAAGTCTAGTCAGTGTAGTTCTAGTCATCCCTCTACCTCGTGGCATCTGCCTATTAAAATAATAAACCCTTCAATTTAATTATATATGAGTTTATAAAATGAAGATTTTTTAACAAAGGGGTTCAACTAAATCCCTATAATTGTACGAAAATTTTATACGATGTACGAAAATTCTATAGAAACATATTAAACTCTATGGCAACTGGCAAGTATTAACCTGTGGAATATGTTATGACATTCGGTTATGACTTGACTCTTGAATGTTAACACCAAAGGACATATTTTGTAAACAATAAAATATAGAAACAATCATTATGCATATATATTTTTAATTATCTTATAAATTTTTAAACCGAAGCCCAATCAAACATATACTAAATGGAGGTCCAAGGTAATTTATTTTTAACTTATATTTTATTGCTGACATACTGTGATGTTAACAACACAAATTAAATTCAGATATCCTCGACACATCAAAGTTAGCTTTCGAGGGTGACTTTGAACAGCAAGTAGAAGAAATTTTATTACACGTAAGACTTTCTAAAGAAGAGGTGCTGAGATTGCAGACCTTATTTGACGATCTCTACAATGCTCTAAGCAGAGTTTGGGATGGTCAGTATTCATTAAGATTAATACGTAGACTTTTTTGTACACACCAATTACCATCCAAGTAAGCAATATTATGTATAATTTGTTATAGGAATCAAAGTTCATGCATTTGGATCAATTGTGACAGGATTGGGAATCAAAGCGAGTGATGTAGACTGTTATGTGGAGCTACCAAGTTGGCTCAGTCCTCCAGAAAAATCTTTCTTATTCAAAGCCAGGAATTTATTTAAACTAGAGCCCTGGAAATTTCAACAGCTGTTTGCAATATCCTATGCCAGAGTACCCATTCTCAAATTTTATCATACCCCAACTAAGTGCAATTGTGATCTTAGTTTTAGTAATGCTGCAGGAGTGCAAAACAGCAAATTAATAACTTACTTTTTAAATTTAGATGTAAGAGTATTGAAACTGGCGATTCTCATCAAATATTGGTCTAAGATACATGAAGTAACAGGCACCAATTTTATGTCTAGCTACAGCTTAACTTTGTTGCTTATATTTTATTTACAACAGATAGGTTTCCTGGAGCCTGTTATCACATTACAGCAAAACTCTCCTGAGCTCCTGATTAATCATTTTAATCATGCATTTAATGAATTAGAATGTCACATCTCCAATAATCAAACATTGTTCCAGTTATTGGAAGGGTTTTTTAAATTTTACCACAATTTTAAATTTGAAAAATATGTCATTTCTTTATATTTAGGTTGTGCTATTGAAAGGGATTTATTTGTTGATGTGAAAACAGTCCCATTAGAATTTTCCTTATATCATAGCAATTTATCTCAGAAACTCTGTCAGCCGCTCCGACTGGAGACGGCCATGTGTGTTCAGGATCCCTTCGAGCACAGTCGGAACTGTGCAATACGAGTGCACCCTAAACTGTTCAAACATATTATGAACACATTTAGAAACGCCGTTTCAGATTTTGAAAACAATAATGAAAGAAATGTTCTGAAAAAATTGCTATATAGAACAATTGATAACACTCCCACCAAGAGTAAAGACAGCCACAGAGCACGCCTCAAGGGGGTGCAGAAGAAATTCAATAATAATAAAAATAAATCCCAACACCATCAGAAAAATAAACAAAATGTACAGTTTATTAAAAGTCAACTTCAGGGTAAACAACAGGGTCAAAGATAAATTTGTTGAAAAATGTTATCATTCAACATCCTCCACAGAATAGAACTTGACATATTACTGCAACTATTTACAAATAAATATATAATAATAAAATAATAAGTTTTAATAACAAGGACGGATCTTTCTCTTACAACCTTTATTTTATATTTTACAGGTGATTGTGATTTTGTGTTGGTTTAGATTCTTTGGCATAATGTAACTTAAATCATAAATTGCTTCAAGTTGATTGTATAATTCTTGTCATTATACATAATTTAGACAGCAACACAACCATATAATACTAATAGTAACATGAGGTTTTGTCTGTTTTTCTGTATGTTCTACAATAATTTCGATTTGGTTAAAAATTATAATGATATCTTGGAAATCTTTGTTCTTATGGTTATCGTTACTTCACCAATTATCATAAGGTTACTAAGAAAATTCTAATTACTCCTTTGACGTGGTGTAGTCATGTGAATAATATTTAATTGTAATAAATGTTCCAGACATAACACAGAATACAAATAGTAAGGAAATACAAATTATACTGATCATAATGAAGTGAGAATAAATAATTGAGTTAAATAAACCTAGTCATTTATGTTATATGATTTACTTATTCTTCTATGTTATATGATTTACTTATTCTTCTTCTACCTGTCAATTTCCCAGATTTAGCCAGAGTCTGCTTAACATGTTGGAATAGTTTTGGCAAATTATTTTACGTTGTATCATTTATTATATTATAGTATATAACTTAATGACACTACGCTGAAAGTCTTTACTATGGTTTCTGAAACTTTAACTTGTAAAATAAAACTTTACAATTTCAATATTTTTTTTAAATCAATTTTGGTTAAAATTTGTGAAGAATTTATAATTTTTTAAACTATTTATAGATAATAGAGAGCGACTTAATTTAAATGTCATAAAGAAAATATGAAACAAACCTTTCTTTCATTAATGTTGGAACGTTAAAAATATATTTCACTAGCTTTTGCCGCCACTTCGTCTGCGTGGAATAGTGACTTTCGGTAGATTTTTGGTTCTTCCCACATAGTTCCCGTTCTTGCGGGGTTTACGGAATGGTTGCGTTCCCGTAGAATTTTCAGGATAAAACCTATGTTTCTTTTTTATTCACAATGAAGTACACTTAACCAACAACATACTTATTTGTTTATTTGAATAAAGATTAAAATTTTTATGTTGATTCAACTTAAATTATTTCGACCAAATTAGGTACCATAAAAACGGTTTTTGTGAGTTAATCTTAAAAGATAGACATATACTGTCGCGGACTGTTTTTTAGATCATTAAAAGAGCTATTATTCTTTAGTACATATTTTTTGTGTATCTTGAACCGTTTTCACGGGGCACGCAACGGAAGGCTTCAAAGATGAAATAATTTCTCCCGTTTTTTACACATTTACCACTATATCTTTGCTCCTATTGGTCGTAACGTGATGTTACATAGCCCACAGCCTTCCTCGATAACTGGACTATCCAACACAAAGAGAATTATTCAATTCGAACCAGTAGTTTCGGAGATTAGCGCTTTCAAACAAACAAACTCTTCAGCTTTATAATATTAGTATAGATGAAACTACTAAATATATGTGTGTGAGAGTCACTTATTGGGTACTTCTAAAATTCTTGTTGATAATACTAGGTAGTAGGTACAACATGTACCTATAAAACATTTAATACTATAACAGAGCATCTATTAATTATTAGAATGAATAAAGTGTTTAATTATAAAAACGTTGTGTTGTTTGTCTTTATTAACCAAAAGGCGTCTATCACTTGTCCATTTAAATCCACGGATATCTGTAAAGATAAAATCGTACGTATGAAGATAAAGGAATTCTAAAAAAATAAAATTTAAGCGTCCGCTGGAGATTTCAAATTTTCATTAATAACAATTAAAGTATGTTCATTACCTATGTAAAAAATACAGTCATTTAACAAAATATGTTTACTTGTTGTTAGGCTATTACTTGTTCGACTAAAGACCGATTTGTTAAATGATTGTTGTTAATCGAGAAGCAAGTTAGTTCACGTAGTTCCACGGACTTCATAAAGTATGTACAGAGCGGCGGTCGACGCCTGCTTGTGTTAGTTCTTAAGCTAATTTCACGAAATTGTCTTTATAGTGTCCGTGTGCTTTACCTGTTCTATATGAACATGCGTTTTGTTGTAAACCTTGAGTCTCGTGTACCCGTAGTCCTGGGAGCGGAATGCGGACCAAGAGGCTGGGTCGTCTGGAAAATGTCACATTATTGTGACAGATTTATTTTTCTAAATTTATTTTTGTAAATTCTGAGGTTCGGGACGCTGGTGTATTATAATATTAGGGGAGATTTAAACAGCCATTCGTGATTGTTTTGACAATGGACACATACGTTTGAAGTGATCTCGTCCCTCCTGGCAGCCCGCGGAGCCGGTCACCAGGTGTATGGGCGCGCTGCAACAGATACACCGCACTCATCACACTTGAACACTGACCCATCAGGTATGGTGACATTATAGGAGTATTTTATATTAGGGTGATATTATAGCATTAGTAATAACAATTAATGCATGCATGTTAACTATCATTTTGAGAATTACTTTAAAGGGAATGATTATGACTCATAAAAAATATGAATTAAATGACTAGCTTCGCAATTTTAGCGGTAAAATTTAAATAGGAAAAATTATGATAATTGCGGACCTTCAATGAAAATAAAAAAACAGTCATCCGTTTAAAATCTTTATTTGTATATGATATGTGACGCACACCTTCATGATTAGCATTGTTAAAAGTATAATGTAAGAAATAAAAACATATCGACTTATTAATATAACACGCTCTTTGGAAATTGTTGAGATTCAATAGATATGTAAAATAACTGGATACATCACAATTCGTAGAACCTTAATCCCTACCAGTACATAATATATTCGTATGTACATATTTTGGTTCGTTTTCAATGTTACATATCAAAGGGCACGTGTCGGTCCTTGATGATCGTGAAGGAGTCAATGACCTGGCCCTTCAAGTCCACGTCCACCTGGAACCAATATACTTCAATCAATATTTGATCCTCTATTAGATGAGTATGGTATATTATCTTGTTCCCACCTGTTGTATGTGTATGGAGGTTTTGTCGGCCGTGAGTCTCGTGTATCCGTAGTCGCTGGACCTGAAGGCCGACCAGTCCGGGCTGACCCCTGGGGAGGCAGGCATCACTCATTACACACAACCAGATACAGGCAGACAGCTCAATATACATTATATAGTTATAAATTTTACTTACGTTGGAACTTATCAGTGTCCTCCTGACACCCCGCGGAGCCAGTCACCACGTGGACCGGGGCTCTGGAGGGAGGGGGGGGGGGTTAAATAAACAGCAATCATAGAAGAAATAAACAAATAAAAGCAGAGAAAATATATGTGAGTTGATATTCTTACTTGAAATAACATGCTAAAGAAAAAGTGTAGACAGCTAGTACAGTTTTATTGACTTACCGCGAATCATTAGAGCGGAGAGTTATTAAAAACACTGCAGAGATTTTGAGAGGTAATTTTCGTACTCAAATTTCGATCTCGGTTTTAGAAAATTATAAGAATATGTTATATTGTTTTTTATAGGTATTAATATTGTTTTTATTATCAGGTTGTCTCACCGCGGGTTGTGGTATGCTCCGTCGGTTCCATTGTACACTTTTCCGTCGTACAGCGGCCAGGAGCGCTCATAGCTGTGTTCGTGGGCCCACACAACCAGGTCCACGTGGTACTCCTTCAACAGCGGCTCCAGACCTAACATACATTCATACATACATATACATCTGTTAGTGCTTTAGAATAGATGTAGGAGGAAAATGTGTGTGGTGAGAAAATAAAAGAAAGAAATTGTTAGTGTTAGGTTTTCATTCCACCTGTAAGACGAATAATTGTCTGTCTAAACATTTTTTATATTATCTGTTATATGAATTGTTATGCAGTTAATATACGATGAAGTGTAACCGTTAGTGTGAAAGAGAGACAGATGCAAGATTAGTCATTGTGTGAAAGGGATCGAAAGGAGAATGTTAGCTAAGAAAAGAATGCAAAAAAATTAAGACGGTATTAAAATGTCATTCGTAGTTTTAATACTCTTACACACCTAGTGGTGTCTCACAAAAAGCTTATTCATTTATTTCCCTTAAGAGCAAATTATAAGTGGAAGGCAACACTTATGGCAACAACTTGTTCAAATTCCTAAGGATGCTCTAAATATGATGAAGGAGGAAGTGTATCTCTTATATCCTGAGCGAGGAAGGTCTACAACAAAACTGCTGGCCATGCGTCGAATTGTGCACTAGTGAAACGAAGATCAAGGAAATATATCACACAATTCCTGAGGAGACTCCGCACAAATTATCCTTTAAATCAGCCTTGGACTCAATAAATGTCGGGATAGCTTTTCTTATCTACACATGGCACAGAACAGGTTCGGTGTGAAATGTTGCTATCAATGACAGGTGACCAGACATTATCAAATATCGCCATACATAATACATACAAAAAGGCTTATTGGTGATCACAACCTGGTTACACAAAATGCAACCAGTCTCTCGGATTTCCACAGGATATTCTTTGGAACACAGTCTACCAGACGCATAATGGCCCTCCATCTTTCACTATAGACTTTCCCCGCATAAGCTTCAAGAGATACGCTTCCTCCTTCCCAATACGTACAAACAAAGGCCACCATAAACTAAACTGAGGCCAGCATAGGATTATACACAGGGTATCATTTTGGAGGAACAAAGTTTATAGAGAGTTAGACCAATAGTTGGGTTATTTAGGATCTCGTTACCCTTTTTGACCAGATTCCCAACACGAAAACATTTTTTTGCGTAACAAATTTCAAGGAAAATGTTAAAAAGACTTCACCTGACAACAGACCCAAACTATACGAAAGAAAAAATCTTTGTATGGTGGGTAGTGACTTGAGAGTATGCCCGCGACTAATGTTACACACGTGTATTCATACTGATACATGTTATAATTAATAAATGAAAGAAAATTAAATACAAGAGAGACACAGAATAGTTACAGAGAAGGGCCTCCAGTGACCTCCAGTGCTATACAGAGATAGTTATTGTGAACTCACTGTATAGGCCGAGGAAGGGCAGTCCCTTGCGTGTGTACTCCACGCTGCAGTCCACGTCGTCTGAGTTGCTGCAGTACATGGGCCGGTGACCCATCACCACGAGCCAGGGCCGGGCCCGTCTGCAACATGCCACATGCTCACCACACAATGACAACACTCACCACAACCGAGGAAGGGCAGCCCCACGCGGTTGGGCAGCCAGTGGTCGTAACAGACCAGCCGCCGGTCGGAGCAGTACATGGGCCGGTGACCGAACAAAACCACCCACGGACGAACGGATCTGGTAGTTAGTGGATTTTAACACGAGCTGGCGGAACATCTGCATCTAGATTGTGGTCTATAGTATAGTGCATTTGATTTAAGCTGAGCTTTACATTTGTGTGAGTGTACACGGATAGTGTAGGTGTGATGTCAAATTTTTGAATGATACATTCTTTTCTGGTTTTGAACCGGTTTATTCTGCTTTTACTCCGCCCCGCACCTTCCGCACTTCACCTTTTGTAATGGTAGCAATATCAAATGTTGAAAATGAAACGTTAAGTGAATATGTATAGTTTTAAAAAAAAAATTATTTATCAATTTTTTTTCCATAATATTCTTAAAATTTCCATCTGGCCTTTTACAAATTTTGCTTATTTTATATCACTTATGTTATGTATCTTTTTAAAATAAAATAAAATTTAATTCTAAAAGTTTTTTGTCAACTCTACTTTTACTTTCACTCACACAAATGCAAAACTCAGCTTAAGTCTAACGGACTATAGATGCATATCGTCGGGGATAGTTTAAATCCGCGTAACTACCATTGGATAATTCTACATTGGAAGCAGATTAACAGAAGGAAGTTTAAGCTGAAATATTATCTAATAATATGTTGGAATTATGGTCTATGGTAGAACCGAAGCTACACTGAACCGATCATAGTAAGTCTTGCCTATTTTCGGGTTGGTTAGCCTTCCGAAGATCCTCCTCGAGCCAGTAGAACTGGTTGGCGACCATCTTGAAGCCGTAGTTGAGGAAGTAGTAGAACTCCGTGGAGATGGACACGAAGTGGACCGGCCCCAGGTCGAACGAGTAGAACATGCTCTCAGTGTCGCCCGGCATCGAGAATCTGTTGCGGTAGTTACTGAAGTTACTGGAATATAAGAGGAAACGGTTACTTTGACCTTCGTATAATAAAGCCTAGTTAAAATATGTATGTATGGCGTTCAGTAGTTTGAAATGATTGTCTCCAAACATCGAGCAAAATAAAATAATAAAATAATATGGATAATGAATCAACATTTGATTACAACATGCTATAGACAAATTGAAAAATTGACTGTATATACTGTACTTTAAACACTCTTTAGCAATACTAACTGTACGAGAGCATTCAAAAAAAGTAAAAAAGTATTAGATACTGGAATTACTAGTCCATTGTATCAGTGTCTGAATGTAGCTGTTGTGTTAGAGATAAATATCCTGAAACTATTTTGATGAATCCTTAAGTAATGAAGACTTTTCAATGTTAAGAGAGTCTATTACAAATAACTTTACACACATCAACATCTTTCACAACAAATCCTTTGTACTATATAACGTTACTGGAACTCATAGTATCGATGCTCGCGTCATGTTATTTATATCAAATCTTAATATAAATTTGGAGACTCAATAACTCTATTCATATGGACTTCTGCGGTGCCTTCGATTACGTTTATTCGCGTCTTATATGATTAAATTAAGCTAATCCAGCCAATATAATTCTTTAGAAAACTTCCGATGCCATTGAGGAAAATTACTTTAGTTAGTATTAATTAATGGTCAAGACTCGGATACATCAAAATATAAGGAGTTTGCAAGGGAACCATTTTAGACCTTTGTTTTCCTTGCCCTTCTTACTGATGTAGATTTATAACCACTACAACTGTTTTATTTTTTAAGTTGAATCATTTGAAAATACACTGTTATCTTTTCAGAAACATGCTGGTCTCCTGGTGGTTTAATGAATAAACCACTAGAAACACTTCATATAAAATGTATGGCTTCAAGCTAGTGAGGAGGGTAGTTTTAGTTGAAGGTGATACTAACTACTTGGACTCGTGGTTCCCCGGGCAGGTCATATAGGGCAAGCCGGCGGCCAGAGGTTGTATCTGCCTCATGAACTCGTCTCCCACGAGCGCGTCGTCTGTGTCCATGTCGTATGCGAAGTCCCCCACGTGGAGGATCAGGTCGAAGTGACCACGCTCCGCCTCGTCTTGGAGGTACGACAGCGACTGAAACCAGCCAACGTGAACCCTTAGCTTTATGAACACTTATGTACCATACTAATCTGATCCAAACTATTATTAAGTCGTCTCTCGTCTACTGGGTTTGAAAAGAAACGTCTTTGTAGCTATAAGTCATATTTAATAGTAATAGAAGATTTTAACATACCATAATGAAAGCTTGGGCCAATGGGTGGTCCACCATATTTGGATGTATACATGAGATGTTTTATACTAGACTTAATTCTATAATATAGCATACTTTCAGTCTTAATATTTTTCTATAAATTTGTATTATATTCTCTTTCAACTTTGGTCCACATACCGTTTAATTGTTGTGTAATGTTATGAAAATTGTACGGTCAATTTTCTACTCGGTATTAATCTAAATATATTTTTATTTAGGAAACATTATAACCGATTTATTTCCCTTTTGTTTTAATTATAAAGAGTGTAGTGTATATCCTTACTTCCTAAACCAAACTTCACTGATCTCATGCATTATTGTTGAAACGGAGATGTAATTATTTTACTTAGTGATGAATATAACTTATGGTGTGTGTGCGTGTGTATGTGTGTGTCCTCACATGAGCGTTCTTGCTTCCCATGTCCCCGTAGACAGCGGCCCGCACCACCCAGTCCTCGCCCTGGGGCGGAGTCTTGAACGAAAACTGCTCCGACCAACCGTACACCGACCCCGCGTGATACACTGAAGAGGATAATAAACAAAACGATCAGTTTAACACACGGAGTATAAACAGGAAGTTAATAAAATATACAGATGAGTCAAAAGTGATTCATAACGTAAGAAATTTACCAGCAAACACTTATGGAAGATACTAGGTTTTACAAGTGACTTTTTAGCACGACCTGTGGAATAGGGCTTAGAAAAAAATGCGTAGATTGAGTTAACATTTATAGTAATCAGCCGTTAACAATATCTCACCAAAAACATGCCTGTTAAAAAGGGGGCCAAGTTCCAATCGGCTAATTGTTTGCCTAAAAAAGGGGTGAAATCCAATCTAATGCCAAGTTTAGATGCACTTTGAAATCGATCATAATCATCTTCATCAACAGCATGATCCACTGGTAAACATTTGCCATTCCCAAGACTCGCCACCACACCCAGTCCTCTGCCTTCCACATCCAGCCACTACCCGCCACCTTATTCACGTCAACGGTCCATCTGGCCGAAATTCACTTTACCATACACCCAACTTAAAATATGGTATAGTTGTGAAAATACGTAGGTGCTTGGTTATAAATATCTAAAATTATAATACTTCTAAATTTGAACTTGGCAGGTTAATTTAATTATATAAATTATATAATATTTAAATTGTATAAATATAAATAATTATATAACTAAATAATAAATTAATGATACAATTAATTAAGTGTTACGTACAGCACAAAAACCTGCCAAGTTCAAATTGAGAAGTATTATAATTTTAGATATTTTTAACCAAGCACCTACGTATTTTCAAAACTATACCATATTTTAAGTTGGGTGTATGGTAAGGTGAATTTCGGCCAGATGGACCGTTGACGTGAATAAGGTGGCGGGAAGTGGCTGGATGTGGAAGGCAGAGGACTGGGTGTGGTGGCGAGTCTTGGGAATGGCAAATGTTTACCAGTGGATCATGCTGTTGATGAAGATGATTATGATCGATTTCAAAGTGCATCTAAACTTGGCATTAGATTGGATTTCACCCCTTTTTTAGGCAAACAATTAGCCGATTGGAACTTGGCCCCCTTTTTAACAGGCATGTTTTTGGTGAGATTTCAATACTTTTTTTCAAGAAATCGTACATACAATCGTACTATACAGCCGTACAATGCATAACTTACAGCATGAAACATACAGCTACCATCTGATGGCATAGGAATTACCCTATGTGGTATATCTCCGCCAACCACCGAAAGATGTACAATTTCCATCGTTGGTAAATGAATAGTAGAAAAGAAATAGAGTGAATTTGTGCTTTTAACACACACAAGTAATCAATCAATAAGCAATATCAAAATTAATCCTTTAGTAAGTCAAATCAGTGATCAATTTAATCGTAAGCGTAACCATATATAAGATAACAAGACATAAGTGTAGAAAGAAATACATAGAAAGAAATGACCATCGATTCCTTATCGACTTTCATTCATATATACTGCAGACAAAACAATATCGCGATTCAATTATACCGCTAGCGCTATCTATCGAAAGTAATTTATAACAATAGAAACCTGATTTTTTAGGTAAGCAATATTTAATTAAGTTATACAGTGTGCATTATGTATACATGACAATATTTTATATCCCTTATATATATCAGTTCTTAAGAAGCGCCCCACACTTTTTTCACAATAATATTAATTTAAAAATAAATTAACAAACAATAAATGGTATTTTTGTGAAAAAAAGCGTGATGAGCTTCATATATCACTTCTTGAGAAGCGCCCCACGCTTTTTTTTTCAATAATACCATTTATTGTTTATTTTTAAACAATTTAAATTAAATTGATTTCCAAGGTTGTAAAGGTTAAATTAGTTTCCACGCGGTTTCTTTCATCATTGGAGCGTGTTTTTTAGTTTTTTTTAAACTATATTTATTTTTTGTTATTTAGTTTCATTTATCACCGATTGATAGATGTACTCATATTATTAATTATTAATATTTCATTATTATGTATTTTATTGTGCTGAGCTAAGCGCCTATATAAAGGTTTTGATTACCTGTCAGTGAGTCAGTGCCAAAATTAGCTATTTTCACAGGGTCATATTTCAGGATCTACTGAAGCTTTATCTATGAAATTTGGCATACTGCTTTAGGACTAGTATATGATTACGTAGGTACAATTTTATCTCTGTACTTGCAATAGACACTGAGCTACAGGGGGTCAAAAGTGGGTCGAATTTATTAAAAATTCGATATTTAGAGTTGAGGCAACTCACGCTTGACCGATTTCTTAAATTTCTTAATTTTTTGTTAATCTACATATAACACACAACCTGTGTACCAAATTTCATAATGCTAAAACAATGGGAAGTGGCCTAGAGGTTTTGATTACCTGTCAGTGAGTCAGTGCCAAAATTAGCTATTTTCACAGGGTCATATTTCAGGATCTACTGAAGCTTTATCTATGAAATTTGGCATACTGCTTCAGTACTAGTATATGATTACGTAGGTAAAATTTTATCTCTGTACTTGCAATAGGCACTGAGCTACAGGGGGGTCAAAAGTGGGTCGAAACGGTCCGTGTAAATATAGTGCACAGCATGCGCCGGCCTGTGGAACTTGGCCGGCGCACTACCGTGCGCTTAGATTTACAGTTTGTGTCAGTATCGTTGCATACAAAATACAGCTATCATGACGGGTCCTTCCGGAATTGTTTACAAAAAACAAACAATTATTGTTACAATTAATAGATGCTATGTTTTAGAAAAACTAATCTCCCAAGTGCCAACTAGTACTCATTGTTCATTATTATTCATTTACAGCGCAAATTACTTTATAAATGTTCACTGACACAAATATAACATAAAAAAAATTTAAAGTTTTAACCTCTAGTTATAATGGAATGAATTAATAAAGTATTGACATGAGATAAAATGGTCACAACATTAATGCATTATGTACATATTATGTGTCAAATAAACCTTATGTATGTTACATATGTATCTATGTATTGATAAACGAGTATTTAGAATACATATTAAACTGCTCGTATTTTAAATGTGATTTATTTTGTGCCTCTCTATATAGGTAGGTGACCTCAAAGATTTAGCTGACTGTGTACATTAAAAATGAATATTTTTATATTTTTAAATTCACTGATACCTTATTTAAAACAAGAAAAAATTGATATTCTGTTATTTCTGCAGCTGGATTGATAATGATGGAATTAATGAAGATATTATTCATCATCGTGTTTTATTAAAAACAATCTCAAAACGTAACCACTTACTTCACTTCTCATATTAGACTTAATTATACAAAAAGTATTTTCTTTTTTTGTATTATTAGATCAACCAGGAGTATATAAAGTAATAGTAACCATAATAAAAACTTGTTATATAATGTTGAAGTTTATGAGATTTAATAATAATTTACACCTGATAATATGTTTTTCTACAATATGCAATAAAATTAATTGTTTAGAAACACTATGGTGTGATGAAGAGCTAAATATTATTATAGTTGTCATGACTCAGTCATGTTTAAACTAATGCACAGAAACACCTGTCACCGTTGATTGTTGAACTATAGTAGTTATCTATACTAATATTATAAAGCTGAAGAGTTTGTTTGTTTGTTTGTTTGAAAGCGCTAATCTCCGAAACTACTGGTTCGAATTGAATAATTCTTTCTGTGTTGGATAGTCCAGTTATCGAGGAAGGCTGTGGGTTATATAACATCACGCTACGACAAATAGGAGCAAAGATATAGTGGTAAATGTGTAAAAAACGGGAGAAATTATTTCATCTTTGAAGCTTTCCGTTGCGTGCGCCGTGAAAACGGTTCAAGATACACAAAAAATATGTATTAAAGAATAATAGCTCTTTTAATGATCTAAAAAACAGTCTGCGACAGTATATGTCTATCTTTTAAGATTAACTCACAAAAACCGTTTTTATGATACCTAATTTGGTCGAAATAATTTATTTAAGTTGTATCAACATAATAATATTAATCTTTATTCAAATAAACAAATAAATATGTTGTTGGTTAAGAGTATGTACTTCATTGTGAATAAAAAAAACATAGGATTTATCCTGAAAATTCTACGGGAACTCGACCATTCCGAAAACCCCGCAAGAACGGGAACTATGTATGTGGGAAGAACCAAAAATGTGCCGGACGTCACTATTCCACGCGGACAAAGCCGCGGACAAAGCCGCGGCAAAAGCTAGTTTAATATAACTCAAAACTTGAAGAAGAGAATACAAAATATATTCTGTTATGAAAAAATATTTATAAATTTCTATAACATTATACCTAGAATAATTTAAATAAATGGATGATAAATGGATGTATTTTTTCAGACAATAGATATCTACAAAGACTCACAACTTAAATAATGGATAATTAAAAAGTATACTATTAAATAAATCATTGTTAATACCAAGATACTTCTAAGACATAACATACATATATTAAAACAAGTACATATTGAATGATAAAATTGGACTTTGTTAATGTTTAAAGAGATGAAACATCTCATCATTCAATGTATTCACCATGCGGGGATCGGGTCCATTGTTGTAGTGAGAGGAGCTTCAACAGTGACTGTGACTTGTGACCCAGGTGTTGGTTTAAGGGGCCCCTATCTAACGCGCGTTAAACGCTCACCTCCACTGTCCAAGCTCCTCTGTCTACCTAAGATGCTTTAAGTTTAAACCATACCTAAGTAACAGTTGTATAGTTACATACCATATTTTGTGTCGAACTGGAGATCCTTCAAGAGCACTCGATGTATCCACATAGATCTCTTCCTCCTTCCTCCATCAGTGAACAAAGTACTGTAGCCCACAGCCTCCTCGTCCATACCTTCCACTCCGTACTGTACTCGGGACTCTTGTGTGTCGTTGAATGTGGTCCATGTTACCACTATGTCATTGGTTTTGGCTGTTGGATTAAGACATATTTAATATACTTTCAACAATGGTTAGTCGTTATTGGTTAAGATCGTCATCTTTGGGTTCACAAACTACCAATGAATAAAAATATTGTGAAGTAGTTTTGCTGCATTTCGCTTTATAATGCTATATTTGAAAAATTCTAGCCCAAAAAGTTTTTAAAATTATTTTAAAATCACTTAAAAATTATGATTGATTGTTTTTATTTCCTTTGAAGGAATGGATAATCATATATTAATGAATATATATTTATTTGAATTTTTATTCTAATACAAACACTTGATGTGTTTACTGTGAGTTATAATATGTGGATTAATACTGTGTTATCTGTAGAGGTCACTCGGGATGTCACAGATGGATGTTTATAAATGATTATAAATTAGACAGATTAAATTTTATAAGGTAATGTGAATGTAGCAAAGAAACAAGTGTTATACCTATCTTGACTAAGTTTAAAATATTTGTCAGACTTCTGAAACTAAAAATAAATGTTATTAGATGTCTAAGCTGCAACAACAAATTTTTCAAAGTTATATTTACCTAAATGTAACAGAACGGAGTCTTCTATTTATTAATTTATATACAATTCTTAACATATATCACATACTGAGTTGTATTTATAAGCTTAAAATTTTATATAAATTTATTATAAAAACAATCCTAAACTTATACACACACTAAGTACATATCTGCTTGATATTTAAATAAATTTTCATAAAAATAATGTTATTTTTATTAATAATTAATAAATAAAGTATATTTCTCTTAAATCAATATTAATTGATTATATATATGTAATATTGTGTAACTTTTTTCTGTTGATGTTTCTTTGTTTAGATATAAAAAAAAATTATCTACACTTGCAAATATGTAGTGGACTATTACTAGTAGGAAATATAAATCAAAGAAGAAATATAAATATATATCTTTAAATAATATACTTAATTAACTTAATAAATAATTATAAAATCTTTTGTTCGACGACACAGTTTCATTTTTCAGACTATAATACAAGAGAATTCAAACGTTAAAAATAAAAAAATACTTACATCCAAAGGAAATATGAATCTGTTCTGGTTGACAATAATCACAATCGTATCCGGGGCTAACGCGGGGAATATTATTTGCTTTCGCTAAAGTTATAACAACAATAAAAATAAACAACTTCATTGTTTCTCACTCAATCGATACGAGAGAAAAATCATTGATGAGATTTTGAAACTGTAAAAAATAAAATGTATCGCGTAAAATAAAACAGAATTCACCCGCACAGTATTAACACTAATTTAATATTGTTTCATGTTTGTTAAATGTTTGTACTCCACAGATTGCAGTTAAAGTCGTTATTCGCTAATCATCTTACAATGAAAACATTTGTCAGAAGTCAACTGGCAAATGTCAAATGTCATTGGCACGAATATTTGTTTATTAAAATGAAGATAGGTACCTAATAGATACGATAAAAATATGTTTTGTTACTAATTTTAAAAACATATCAATTGTTATAATAATTAGAGGCCATTAAAATACAAATATTCTCATAAGCAAAATTTATTTTGACGAAACAGCATTCAACTCAAAAAAAATTATAGTAATATATATTATGATAATATATCTACATGATAAATCTATTTAAGTAAAATATGTTAAATTTAACAAACACATATTTATTTAGAATCTTTTTAGATTATGGCTTGAATTGCACCTATTATTGCTAAATTATTTCTTTGTCTGTGAAATTCATAACAGCTCGAATAATTGTCTTGCGACGTGATCACTTCACAAAATAGGAACTAATGTTAAGCTTGATAAATAATTAGCAATATTATTTTAACACTAATGTGAAAAAAATAGCTTTTCAAATTCTCTTATAGTTTGAGATTTAATATAAAACCACTAAAAAATGTTTTGTACTGAATTAACTTATTTATCATGCAGGTTAATACCTACGTGAAGTACAATTGATAGTTTATAATTAAAAAGAAACTAAGAACTATAAGTACTTAGTGTTTAAGAATACGTAGCAGAATGTAGAATCGGATTAACTAAGTTGTATGAAGTGCACCGTTTGAAGTATTCATAAAAAAATTGCTCGCAAATCGGTTAACTGTTATTTCTAGACAATATGCAATGCATATCTTTATCTATATATAAAAAAGGCTGACTGGTGAATTACTATCAATATTTAAGGAGAATACTCTGTACATGATTCTCATTCGAATTATGTAAAAAAATAGGTACTTAATTTTTGACCAAATTTCCGTATAAATAAATAAAGTGTGCACACGTTCCAAGTGTGGACGCGTGCGGCGGCGTGCTGATACAACACCACGCCGCCGCACGCGTGTGTGTGTATACCTAATCTGTAGGGTGTTCACACGATGCGTAATTAATTACATAACTTTTGGTTAACTTTACTTAGAAGTTTATTAATATTTATGTTATATTAATTTTTATTTTGTCATATATGATCGTCAAATATCACGTCCTCAAGTATCGATAGTAATACACCAGTCACCCTGTATATATATATACAAGAATTGCTCATTTAAATATGTAAGGTATAAGGATAAGCGCTCATTTTTATAATAACCACTTTAGTTTATCTTCCCAGAATTCATACTACCAATGTGCTTTTTCAATAAACTGTGTATTTGGTACTTATGTAAAATGAATCATGTTCTAGGATTAACAATAACTTAAGACAGCAATAAACTAAAACAAGTTGCTGCTACTGTTTTCTACTGGATACTGAAACTAACCAACGATATTTGAAGTTGATTTTTAACTCAACGTGAACTCATGAACGTTCTTATAATGTGTATGAAAACTACGAAGTTGACACAATTTAAATCTTGTAGGCATTTCAGAGCTACAACGTTTAGCCCTGTAGTAGGTAAAGTGATTCATATTTTAGTTCTTCTTTACTGTTTATATAAATTACACAACCTTCGAATACTAGCGAATAATCGAAAACTACTAATAATGAGAGCGGGTAGAAGACGGAGGTGTCTCGAAGTAATTAAGAATAATAATATAAAATAATTAAGAATTTACTTGAGAATTATTGATTATAATGAAACAAGAAACACGAGGCAAGAAAAAACAACATCTGTAACAATTATTTAATTCAGTCATACAGCAAAATATTCAACTAAACGTTACACACTAAATGGCATATTAAAATATCGTTATTCACTTATACTATACTTATATATACTTTATTATTATGTATCACAAGCAAAATTGCGAAACCGATTTGTACTTGAGGTGAGTTTACGGTGAGACGCACGAGGTTGTATTTGCTAAGCAAATTAATAAGGCACCAAACATTTAAAATGTCAATATTCAACAACAATCAGCCATCAGCTAGTCGTCCTAGACTCATTTCCCCTTCGCTCCTGCTGTTTTTCTCTTTTCTTTTTACAATTTGTCCTACACTGAGCTCCCCCTCGCTCCTGAGAGGCGGCGCGGCCGAGCTGATGCTCGATATAGAAGACGTCGAACTCATTTCCGATATCGAAGGGATCCTCGTCTTCCGGAGCCTTCGTTTAAACTTGTGGCTTATTTCTCCGAAACTGGACACATCCGTCGAGTAGTCTTCGTTCGGTGAACTCGAGCTGCTCGGAATATTTTTCTTTGAATATATTTTCTCGGGTTCCTTTTTGTTCGGTTCAGTGTATGGGAGCGACTCCGTTGAGGGTCGCGGCAGCCGCAGAGTGAACCTAGGCGACGACAGGTTCACTGAAATATCGAATTCCTCTTCATTTACTTGAAGCTTGAGGTGTTCTTGTTGAGACAAGCCCAAAGGACTGGTGTGCTGATCAACTTTCAGTGAGAGTGTGAACGGTGATGTGGTCCTCGTCTTGGTCCTGGTGGGCGAGGTCATCACACTCTTGACGTGTGCCGGAGACGTCTGTGTGATCTTGGTAGAGGCGGCTGTGTTCCTGTCATCGTCAGGGTCCGGTCGGGAGGTGGACGGTTTGTTTGTGTTCTTAGTAAACAAGTCGCTGTATTCCTCCAGAATGACCTTCTTGATGAAGTCCTTCTCCAAGTCGAACATTTTTCCAACCTCGTTGTGTGGGTCAAGTGTGGGCCACAGGTCGTTGTGTATGGGTCGCAGGTCGGGGGGGGCGGTCCTCGGCGAGGTCTGAGTCTCTTTGGGCGTGATCCCGCTGGAGCCGTGACTCTGCGTGCCGATGTCCTGCGTGTCGACTGAGTGAACGAACTCGAACACCTCCACCGCGTTCTTGAACGCCAAGTTAATAGTCTTCGTGTATGTTTTGTTGTGCGTCGTTTCATCCGAGTTGTTGAGCTCCTCGTCCTTAGCCCCGTTGTTGGCGGCCTGCTCCCGCGCTGATCCCGGTTCGTTTGATTCACTCCGCCTGTCTTCGTCTGATTTATCTTCAAAGTCATCATCATACACATCGCTGTCTAAATTATCCTTCGCTATATTTTCCCCATTTTCTGATTTTTGTGTATTAATTTCTTTGGAGAGTGTGCTCGTGACCTGACTTTCGATATCGATAACTTCTTGCAGTAAGTTTTCATCTGATGAAGTGAGGATTTTGTTGTTTTTGATGACTCGAGGACTCTCGTTATGGAATGAGTTCTCCCGACTCAGAATTTTGTCTAAAATTGGACTTATGATAACGTTTTTGTCGGGTACGTTACATATCTCCTTTTCTATGTCACTGACGTTGACTCCGCCCAGCGTGAGTTTTGTATACGGTATATACTCCGTGTTATTAGATTTCCTCGGAGACTTAGTCTCATTAGCGATGTTTGTTACACCGGCGTGAGGTCTCTTAGTTTTGTAGGTACCCTTAGTTTTACCATAAACAGCATTAAGTTTCTTCTTCCACTCATCTAAACGCGTGTCTCTTCCTCTCGATGCCCTCTTTATGTTATTATTTTTAGTTTTTCCGTGTGCGTATGTTTCTATTTCAGGAGCAGCCTGATCCTGCCCGGGGCGAGCTCCTCTCCGTCGTAAATAAGTATTAATATTATTCGTCGAGTCACTGCTCTCGTGAGGCGACATCTTGGACACCTTTCTCACAGTGGGTTGATCGTATATTTGTTTGGTTGCAATGGATGTTTGGTGAATGTGAACAAACGTATTTTTATTATCACATCTCTGCGTGGGTTCTGGTTCGTGTTGTAGTGTTAAAACCAAAGCATTAGTTTGAGGAGCATTGCTTGGAGTTTCTTCAGAGTCAGGGTATATGTCTAGTTGTACAACTTTTTGGGTCGTCAGCTCGCTTCTTATATTAATGCTGGGCATTTCTTGAACTTGTAGAGCTTTTTGTGATGATGAAGTCGTTATCTTCGGTTCCACGTGATATGTTAATTCATTATAGGCGACTGATGGAAAGCAATTTTTAAGTGTCCTGTTATGTGTGCCGTTGCTTTTAGCTTCATCTTTAGTTTTTCCGTCAATTTGAAGCGTTTCCGTCCGTGATATTCCTAATTCCTTCTTTTTAACCGTCCGTTTTTTGAGAGTCGGCGTATAATTAACTTGAACACTTGTGTCCACAAGTTTCGTTTTTGGTTTAATGACATTTGCTTCGATAGTTTCTTTTAGAAGATCTTTTAGCAAAGTTTTAGGGGTAGACGGCGTGTTGTTAACTAATTTGTATCCATGAAATTTGGCATTCACAATTTCTTGTATCCGAAGTTTCTCATTATATTCGTCGTCGAGCGGGGTGGGTCGCGACTCCCTTACAACCCCTATGTGGGGGGGTGCGTGTTTCCCAGTCAGTTCCCCAGTCAGCTCGGTCAGCTGGTCCGCTGTGTTCCGCAGCATGTCGTGCAGCTTCCTCAGTATCAGTTCATCTTCGGGCCTCATGATCGGTTCCGGGTTCCATATGTCGTCTATAATGCTAACCTTTTCAATTTTTTTGCTGCTCTCAACCTGTAAGTGATGTGGATATGGTTAGTGATGTCCACCAAGTGTCTCGTCTCCGCTACTTTGTCCCGGAGGTCACTCACCAAATATCGATCGACGGGGTAGTGGTGTCTTTCTGGCCTCACCTGTTCGTGAGACACAGCGGCTCGGGCGTCCTCCTCGACGCTCCCCGCTCTGAGGACAAACACAATGTAATATGAATTAAATGTTGGTATATCTCTTGTAGCGGGGTAGGCGTTAATGTAGATATAAAAAAATTACTAAATGTGATCAATAATCTTATTTAAAAATATATTTGCTTCTTTTTTATTGAATAAAAATATATACTTATACCTATTACAAATACATGTAAAGGCATTTGGAAAATATGTCTTCATGCATCGTATTCTGTTATTAATGTGTTTGTCACACATACATTAATAATAAATAAACAACGGTTTCCATTATATTTTCAGAGCAGTCGATAATGATAAAACATTACACGGAAGGGCACCCTGTGCAATCAGTTATATGTATATTGTTGTCCGCGGACATTTTAAATAGGATCAGATTATATTGTACATTGTAGTGTATGTTGTAGTTATGTATTTCTCAATGTTTGTTAAGCATGTCCTAATGGTGTGTAGTGCGTCGGAGGGGTTGTTGAAATAAAAGTTCAATTACAAAATCACATCAATTGTATTTCACCAACATTTACAATAACGTCTTAATCGAAGCATTTCGCTCGTCGAGAGTTACAAGTTTCGTATTTCAGACAAATGTTCGTGGACATCTAACAAGCCTATCGACCGAGGCGGACTACTAGCTCCGGGACGTTGGACGGCCGGCGACCTGCACCATCACGACTCACAGTCGCCCGGCAACAGAATTATACAAAAATATTACCAGGTCGGGCTCGGCCGTCCAACGTCTCCGAGGAAATAAAATAATACGCACACTCTGTGCTTACAATCGTTTACAAGGTGCCATGTTAATGGCGAAACTTTATACACGCCCGAACAGGGGCGGCTCCTGGGAAATATCGATTTCGAAATCTATCAGAAAAACATTAAGTGGCTCCTAACAAAACACATAGTGTTGACGACGCTCGTCAGCGACGAATTAGAAAAAAGATATCTCAAGAAGGGCGCCGACGAGAGAAAAGAGGCGCCGAGAACGAGCTCGGGCACCGACACTACAGAGCGACTCATATGTACAACACGGAATATATACAACACAGATATGTACAGAATAAATAAACACAGAGAGGACGGCGCCCACACGGACGAGCCTCCTCACTGATAGCCTTCGAAATGGACACCGCGGGCTGGATAACGTACGAGAATAATAATAATAATATAATGATAATTAGTTCACTTTATACAAATACAGCAGCGAGTTTTAGAGTTCCTATAAGGTCAGACGATTGACATTCACACAATGACTAGCGCGGCCCCGGCTCCGCTCACCACCACTACTTGAGTGACTCCCAATCGTCACGGCGCCGAGCGTCCGGGCCGGCGACCGCGGAACTCGGGCTCCTCACACCGACGAAACAGACGAATATATGACACGACCTCTACTACTGTACACACTACGAGACGCGCCCGGGACAAGCCACCGGCGGCGGGGCGCTCGCTCACGAGGCGAGTCGAAAAATCTTCCAAAACGGATATGTAGCGTATTCAGAAGGTCTCTTGCTCTGCTGCTCCGAGCTCAGTATATACAGCCGGACGAGCCGGCCTCCTCCGGGGAGGGGCGAGGACTGACTGCGGCCCGCCGGCCCCGCTCTACGTCTCGCGCTCCTTCTTCGGCTTGAAGTCGTCGCCCAGGATGGTGGCGATCTCGCCCTGCATGAAGGCCCACGGGACGGCCGAGTTGGCCAGCGGACACTTCTCACCGCTGGGGCAGTACACCTGCGGACGACACGCGCATCAGAACACGAGCACTAACACGACCACACATGAGGAAGGTGAGGAGTAGTGTCACTAACCTCGGAGCCGGCTTGGCGCTTGATGGAGTCGCGCGAGCAGGGGAAGCAGAACTTGTGGTGCGGCTGGCTCGGGCACTGCACGAAGTGCGTGTCCTCCAGCCGCTCCTGGCAGAGCGTGCACTTGAGGAGCGGCGCGGGGGCCGGCGCCGCGCTCTCCGCGCCCTCACCCGCCTCCGACGACGACACCGACGTGGTGGATGACACGTGCCGCGACCCCGACGACCGCCGCCCGCCGGTCGAGCCTGTCGGACACGTGCGGGTTAGGAGCGAGGGAGCTGCGCCGGCGGCCGGCGGGCGCGAGACTCTTACCCGACGAGTTAGGCGAGTGCTGGCTGGACCGGCTGGCGGACCGCTGCGGTGGGGGCTGCGGGGGCGAGCCGCCGGCCGAGCGCGGGGAGCCCGGCGGGAGAGTGTCCGTCACCGACATCAGCGCCGCCATAGGAGAGGGGCCCGCCGCGCCCGTCACGGGAGGGGAGCCCGCCGTGCGGCCCAGCGGAGACCCCGCCGAGCCGTTGGTCAATGGAGCGCCGCTGCCGTACCCTGGAGAAGAACAATCCACGTGAACACTGACACAACACGCTAACATTACTTCAAAGACGTCAACTCGAACCAGATCAGGCTTGGAGTCACCTACGAGCCACATCTCATATTATATCTAAGCTCACATCTGATTCCGGTCTGCGGGTGACCGTGTCGGTACCAGAGGAATAAAATAAACAAACGCGTGTCCGTCTCTCTGACGTCATCGAGTCATCGTAATTTGGCAACGTTATGTGTAGCGGTCGGCGCGGTGAGAGGAGAAACGACCGTCCATCACCGGTGACCCATCTCGTATAGGAACAGATCTTTTCGATGAGTCGTTGGCGAGATCGTTTAAATTCGTTCAAATAACCTCACACACATTCAATGTTGGATGACACACCGTCGATAGTAAACACACACACACACACACACACGACGTGTTTTATAAATACATAGTACAGTGTGTTAAGAGTGTCTGACGTAGTGCGCGATGTGTCACCGGGTCCCCGGGGCCTCGCAGGTCCGGTTGGGTGGCCAAAGGTGTGCCATGTGTGTAGCGGGGCCAATCGTCCAATAAACGGCGCAACTCTAACATGTGTACAGAAGCGACAAGCGAGCCGCGAGTCCCGTCTGTGTCACGATTCGTTTCAATTATTGTTTACTTTCGGTCGAGCAGAATTAACACGAGTGTGCGGTGACTCAGCGGCCGTTCCGTTTAGACTTGGTACCGTCCGTTCGTTCGCGTATCATAACAGACGTGTGCGAGGTCCATGTGTGACGTCACGCGGCCTCCTCTCCCCGGCGAGCGGGTCCCTCGGGCCTCCGGAATGCGGCCTGTCGAGTCCGCGGCGGTCCAAGGCAGCCCGCGCCGTACATTATTTTCCCGCTGGCCGACTCGCCTTCGAACGTACGCGAGCGAAAATGTCGTCACGCGAGTTGCGAGGTTGCCGCTCGGGCCGGTGTCGTGCGCGCGTTCACATTACGTGGGCGTCGCTTTCGAGAACGCCGAACACTCCACGGAGCACAAGTCACGAGTACAGACCGCCGGCGGCCGCCGGTCGGACCGGTTTTATATTTATGGAGCCAGTTAATGCACCTCCGCCTCCACCTCATGCACCTACCTACGCCGCTGTGCCTACATCTGAATTCCCTCGAGCGAACGCTTGCGCAAACCCCGACACGTACACACAACACTATCGGAGTCGTTATCGCTCGGAGCGTGATCATTAGACTATTTTTATATTAATAATGATAACGGTCGTTCGTAAACACCGCGTAACGCGTTCCATCTATTAGATCATACTTATTTTACAACACACAACACCTCACGGCGAACAGACGCAAGCGGCAAGACGCGGGATACGATAACTATAGAAATATGGTGTCGATGGTCGAATTGAGATTCTCGGTGTCGGTACAGAAACTATACTAACGGATTGGTTTAATAAACAGAAACAACCATTCCTACTGAGACTTACGAGCACATTTACCAAATAATGATATTTACGTGACTCATTAGTATATAAAACGAATATGAACAATTACGTAGTACTTTTAATAATCATGAGATTAACTAATTCATTTCCCGCCCTTCGTACGGCAGTCATTTCTTTGTAAACAGTAAAAGAATACTAGGTATTCATAATTTAAAACGAATAATTCGAAAAAGACGTCTTTGAAGTAATATAAATAAAAGATTCCATCTTGATGTACGAAAAGTGAAACAACTCACCGTTAGATTTAAAAGAGGACGCATCGAATGATGGTGTGCGGAGAGGATGTTTCTCCTGTTTGAAGACTCTGTCGGGCGCGAAGGGAGCGGCCAGCGACACGGCGGGGAGCGAGTCACCCCGGGTGAGCGGCGGCCGGGGGTGCTCCTCCAGCAGCCTCTTGGTGGGCTCGTGGTGTGTCTGGTGCTCGTCCTCGTCCAACGGTCTCTTCAGAGTCAGTCCTGGCGCCAAACGAGCCCCGTGCGTCTGGAGATGGGCCAGAGGTACGTGAGCCATCCTCCTGCCCTCGTGCTCCTCCCTGCGGCTTCCGTACTCGGCCAGGAGTCCCGCGTTCGTGGTCGGCCTCGAATGATGCAAGGGGAAGCCGGCCGCGGGCGCGTGGTGAGCCGGCGGGGCCGGCTGTCCTCTCGCGTTGGACTCCCCTCCGTTCTGATGGGGCTCCATGGACGCTCTGTGGGCTCCCTTCACATGTGTCGGAGCGCGTCCTTCCTGGAAGCCGTGGGCGCGTTTCAACTGCCTGGCGGTCTCGAGGACCACCTCTATCCTATCGGCGCCCTCGTAGTTGACGCAGCCTCGACACACCGCCTCGGAGAAGTCGTGCAACATCGCCCACGGCATGCGCGGCAGGTCGCACAGGTAGCAGTGCTGTCGCTTCTGCATCACCGACATCTCGCCGCCGGATAGAAATCGGTGCGCGAGAGATCGGCCTTCTTCGCTTCCCTTATAAATCGTCACTGATTCCGTATACTCCTAACGAAAAACACTGTCACCATGGTACACTGGAACACAGAGTATCACATGTATCGGGGGACGTCGTCCGTAGTATAAGCACGCGTATCGTCGTCCGGTCCGAGAGAGACTGAGCCGAGCGAGGACGGGCGCGGCAGAGCGGGCGGGGGGTCCGGGGGGTCCGAGGGGGCGGAGCGGGGTGCGGGGCGGGCGGTGGCGGCATTATCGAGCGGTGACGTCAGCGCGCGCACCGACGCGCCGAGGACGAGCCGTTAGCCCGACGCGGATGCTCTCCCTCCCCCCTCCGCCCTGCGACCCCCGGCCCCACCGCACGGCGCGCACTTATCGCACGATAACGACCCCACTGTACACAAATGTGTACAGAGAACGAGGACCGTGCGACATTATTACGGTCCTGGGAATTATAGCGTACTGTCTATGGACATGTAAAATCTTAAATTGTATGAGTGACATTTATATTCCGATGTATGTGACGTTCGAGATGGATACTCGACTCGGTTCCATTTCGACATCGAAAACGGACACGAGAAGTCATCGCTGCGTAAAAAATAAAAGTATCCGAGAGCGGGAACCGGTCCGACGCTAGGTTCCGCTAACAGAACTGATATTATTCATCGAAAGTAAACGGCCGCCTCTATGGAATAACAATTAGTGTGGACGCGTACGACCGCCACCGACCGCCGCCGACGTGAGCCATGCATCAAATTTCAATCTATTCTCAGAGGGTTTCCTTTCGAGCGGCCGCCTTCTAAATTATTATTATTATGATGATGATGGCGGGCACGGGGCGAGGCGGTGCGGGACCGGCGGGAGGGGGGGGTGTAACCGGTGCGGCGGCCATCTTGAGACGTGACGTCACGTGACGAGTCAGCCGACCGGCGGAGCGGCAACGTGGCGGAGCTGCGCCGTTGCCGCTCATATCTGTTGTGATTTAATAATAATAGGGCGAGTTTTTGTATGCGTAGGATTCGGAGAAAACGGTTTGAACAGTTAGTCGTCAGGTAATGACGGACACACGGACGACCCTCGAGACGGCGGGACGGCCTGCCGTGACGCCCTCCTTACTGTATTCAAATATATTTAAAAGCTGAATCTCCGATCACCCCTTTTAGTACAGTCACCGTGAGTCTAATTAGATTCGTCGATTGTGAAGTCAGCTAAATCTCTTCATATTCCATCTGGCTGACATCGGGCGATCCCGGAATGTAATCTACCTTAAGGATTTAGGTATTCGTTGTAAGACGACTATTACAGTGACATGTAGTCAACGTGCTGTCTGTAGGAAGGAAAACAGCCGATATTATTAATAATCGTTTGCCAAAAACATGCGGTGATTGTTAGAGCAGTTTTTATCAGTAGTAGTGTGTATTGAAGTGTGTTGTTGCTCCCTTACAATGAGGTCGCCTCGTAAACATGATTAGAATAAAGTCTTTTCGTCTCTCATCAATGAGACCATGTTCATGTTAAAAGCTGCGTGTTTGTGAGGAGCTGTAGGAACTTATACTGGGAGTGGCATGAAATGCAGTTAGGGCTCGATCTGACCTATACGGTATTACGGTCCGTTAAATAAACTGGTGTATGGAGTTAGCCTTACTATTTAACAGGGGTCTACCGTCGTTCCTCACAGACGACCAATTCCTAGCGACCGTCAACTCGTCAAGAGGAACACAGAGCCTGATAACAGCCGGTAGTATCGGGCGGGTCGTGTTCCACTGGTGACTGGTTGTATGTAAACAGCGAGTTACTTTATTCGAGTTAGTCATGATGGTGGTGGAGGTGACGTCAGCGCGTTCCGTTAACGACACTAGTTTCCAATTATTAAGCTGGTGAGTGGTGGGTGGTGGACGCTATGCTGACAGTGTCAATATCGATCCGTCCGCCAGGCGAGTGGTTCTCTGTCTCTATCATGTACCAGTGGCTAGTATGGTTTATCTGTACGCTGTATGTTCGTCGATGTCAATCAGCCGTTGTACCGTACAATGCCGTCTTCATCCCTGTATATATGTATGTACATGTTCTAATGCAGCAACCTTTGTCCGTGTCGGCGGATCGATGCGTGTTCACGAAGGGCGCATGCCCCGCGACACGTGTCAATGTTTATTTACGTTATGCTCCCGACGCTCCAACGCTACAAGGGTCCTACTCCTACATTATAACTGGTGCATAGCACTAAAACACCCTGATAGTTCTTATGATGATGGATGTTTGTAAACTTACACCACGAACGAATAACCAGGACATAATGGAACACGATACCATGAGATCATTAAAGTTAATTTATGTTTTTAATAATTATTGATAACTAACAGACCCATTAGAGAACGTTACATCACCCGGGGGCGAGGGGGTGCCAGCGAGGGTAGCAGGGGGGGGTAGCGCGGGATATTGATCCGTGACGTCACATCCTAGCGGGAGTCAAAAAACGTGCGGCGATACAGAGAATAAATAAACAAACGCGATCTGAATGTCATTAATGTAAAGTGGAATTTCCTAATTATATAATTATAAGGTGTTATTTAAATTACATAACACGTACATACCTATTTAATAATCACAAAACCATATACATATTATGTATTTATTTGTGTAATATAAATATGTATCATGACTCTATAGATCTCTATTAGAAGTTTCTATGTTTTTAGTTTCTGATTAAGTCTTCAAAGAGTCATAGATATTTATCTGACGTATAAAAGAAATGATATTTAAAAATATTATCAAAAACATAATTCGTAATTAAATCGTTGTCAGAACACATTCAATATATAGAAAATACATAAAACATATTTATTGTAAGCAATTTTAATTTTGCTAAATAATCCTTTATTTACTGATGATAATATACAAATACGTGTGAGAAGTGATGCCGTAGTTCTAGACCTATCGTAACGTTGCGGAGTCGTTTACCCCGAATTGTGTTAGGGGTTGGGGGTTGGGGGTTGGAAACGGGAGGAGGGGGGTCGCGAGTGCGCATGCGTCGATCGATGACTAGGGCTGGGGCTTGTGATAGATAGGAACAGAGAGAGAGAGACGCTACTCCATGGATTGAACATGGTTTCGCATTAAACAAGTTACTTATAATAATAAATTAATTGATGCGAGAGAAATGGAACCACTACTCAAACTGATGATCACGACCAGTCTATCAAGAGTGGTACTGATTGAGAAGAACAAAAAATTGGTTAGATTAATAGGGATTAGCGACCGTACGTATTGTATGAATACGTTCTAGTTGCATCGACAAGGAAAAAGGTTTAGAATACTTGTGGTGCTTGGAAAAACCCTCGGGTTACCCACCTACCACCAGCTGCCGGCTAGATACATGTACAATTATTAGTTAGAAGTTCATTAGTAGTTAAGGTTAAGTATTACCAGGTTAACCAACATAGAGCAAATGTTAGTTAACTAGAACCATAATAATGCATTCATTTAGAGAATTTGATAAATAAATAATTAGTTGTATAAGTCATAATGACAAGAAACTATAGAAAGAAACAAATTTATGTCGAATTCCCTCACGATTGTAACATAATAGTTTGGTGGAGCATACATACATGATACATTGAGAACATTACCACTAAGGGTCAAAGGTCACGGCTAATTACATGTATCGGGGATAAATCTGCCGCTGAAATTTACATGTCAACGAGCCTCTCCAGACTCCGGGGCATTCTTTCTTATCGCATATCTTACACGTGTATTGAGAGGAGCCTACCTAACTTCTCAGATGATGTAGTTAATAATATTAATGCATCTGTCAGGATCGATACCCCGAGCTGTCATCCTTGGCCCAATTGTAAGGTGACCCGAACACCCTTCCCCCGGTTCACACGGGATGCTGAATAACAGTCGCTCAAATAATGATTCATATGAAGTCACTTAATTTTTTGTCTTCAAAAAAGACTATTATATCTAGTGTTTTTTTGTATTATAATTTTGTATGACATGAAAATATTTTTTAATTATTATTGAGATTAAATCACGGCACGGTAATGAATTTCATCCGACTGACACAGATCAGATGCTGTGTTAAGATCACCACACTCTGTAACATTGTTTCTCTTCATATATACAGTACTTTAAATAATTTTATTTGACGACAAGTAAGACACGACGTGGAGAAAGCTTACAACGTATGAAAGTTTCTTTGTGAAACACAAAAGAATTGTGTGAACTCACAGGAGTCAGGATGTTATTAAGGGGAACAGACGCTCGATACACCTGGAACAATGGGGTCTGGTTTATAGGGAACAGAAAATGCTTTTGTTAAGGACAGCTGTTGCTATTACTGGTAATATTACCGTTTTAAATATATTTCGACGAACGTTTGAAAATTAAATTTAATTTAATTGATATAATTTCATTAAAATCGAGACTGAAGAAATTAAGGTTTAAAGAAGTTTATTTCCAAAAAGAACAAAATTTCGCTTACAAAGGAAATTTTAAAAACTATAACTAAAATTAAAATTACAAATAATAAACAGTAGTGTTATTAAACAAGATCATTGAAATCTTCTAATATATGGATTCTTAATCGTTTTTTAAATATATTTAGAGATTTTGAATTGACAGCACTTAGAGGCAAAGAGTTATACAGCTTAAATATAAGACCATAATTGATCTTTAATGACGTGCTGGTCCCTTGATCAGTGTTAGTATTCCTATCTGTTCCCCAGTTCATCTCTCGCTACCCCAGGGTAGGCCAGCAGCCCGGGCGGGATCGATCCCCCGCGGGTCGTATCCTTGGCCCGGTCGCCCGGCCCGGTCGTGTCCCGGCCTACTCCGGGTCACGGCGCCTCCTCGACACACATTCTTCATCATCCTGGACTAACACGTACCGAACACCTTGCGCTCATATTAAATTGATAACTTTTGTATTTTTTTCCCGGCACATAATCTGATGTAACAGAGCTGTATGTATGTATGTCTGTTACACACTACATACGAAATACTTCAATCTTAACAAATAAACACATCTTATTAATAGATGCATTGAGAAAATTAATATAATCCCATGTTTTAAAGGTTCGTATGCCCTAATATTAATGAACATGTTGATACAATACGTAATATATTGATGTTAGTTGTCTGTGTACTTAGTTGGCGTACACAATAAACAGCTAATCCACCTAATGGTATTATTAAAGATCGAGCGACTCATGTTATATTGATTACATTAATATACAATGATAGATGTTTTAAATAAGATACTAGGATCATTACATATAAAGAGTTATAAAACTAATAGATTAATTTAACTCTATAATAAAAAGTCCGATGTTCTAACATTTTAATTTCAAATGATATATTATTATGCATGTTAGTCATAGTTGATTGATCATTTTCGATTCTGACGTGTTTTTAATAGAAACCGATTATCGGTGATCGAGAATTAACTGTTAAAGGTCAAAGGTCGAAGGGTCTATGTGATGCTGACCAAAATAGAAAAGCTTTAAATGTGTATCGTTGTATTAAATATAATATTATCCGCACGTGTGGAGTGAACATGATATGATAAAGGCGGTAATTGAGCAGTCGCTGGTCGGACAGTTGGCCGCTTGTACACGACTGAACTGTACTGAGTATAGCAGACACGGCGGGGCCGGAGCTAGCAGGGAACAACGATAACAATAAACAAACATACATACATATAATATATAACATAATCGCACCATACATACCGGGTTTAAGAAATAACTAGCTTGTATCCGACTCCCGTATATATTTCAGTGTTTATTCGACTTGAACGATTTACTTCGATTGTAAAGTAATTAATTATTTTAAAAAGACATGACTGTCAGTTCGCTTTAAACCAAATCGAGACAAAGGAATTGAAGACTTCGAATGATGTACGGAGTTTCATTTTAAACCCCATTACATTCGACGTACTAAAAACAACAAAGCAATCGCAGTACAGATAACAGAAAAACAAAGACAGGCTTTATCATCCAAGTTACTGTGAAGTACAGGAAATATGTTAAAATGAAGTACAAATTACATTCATACATAACATAATGACTTGGTATAAAACAAGAGAGACATACAACAATGTAGGACTACATAGTTACTAGAGACACATACACGAACAGGGCAGGAGCGTTGCTGATAACAGATAAGGGGTTTCCTTTGTGACGAATACATCCTTCATACTGACGGTAAATAATGGTTATACACATACCTATATACATATATGTATTAGAGGAACATAATGTTATATAGCAACAGCGGTGAATAAATTAAATATAATTCGATTGAAAATGGAAGTACTAATATTAGACCAGTGCCGATAGCTTTTAAAACATAATTAAATTATAGTAGAATGAATATCATTAGAAAAGGAGGGGAATATTATAAAATTAAAGGAAATTTTTTTTACGGGCGATCTGAGGTCGGGAAGGGTATGGGGATGGGTATTTAAGGGTAAACAATGGGTTTTCTCGATTTCCGACAAAACTAAAAGTCCTACGGAAAAAAATTATATGACAAAGTTGTAGGTAATAAAAAGATCTAAAACTTTTGTAACAATATTTTTTCACGTAACCTCAAATTTTATGTGAAAAATTCAAAAACCAAGTTTTTGGTTTTTTATTTTTATCTCTCACAAAAAAACAATATTTTTTCACAAAATTTGGTGAAAACTTTCCTTTTGATGTCCCAAATACACTGTAATTTATTTGATTTGAAATATTAATTTTTTCAGCTTATTTTGATTAAATATCAAAAAATCAGCCTCATTTTCAATCGAAAAATCACCCGTCAAAATATCAGCTTTTTCCAAAAATTTGGAGTGTTTTCTGTTCGTTGAAATCTCTATTTTCCGAAGGTGAAGAAAAATATATAAGTTTTGAGTGTTGTTTCATTAAAAAGGACATGATTATTTTATTCAAAAACGGTACTGTAAGTAAGAAACTTATATTTTATTTCTATAAAATACTATGCACGGTATAAGAAAGTTTGGTTCTAAAAATATGGCCAAATATGTATTGAAAAGCATTGTAAAATTTATTATATTATTAATATATTTATTTACTTTTATTGTCAAGAGTATCGTTTGCCGTTATTTCGTCATTAATCTAGCGTTACTTAAGAAAGTAGGTACTGTTAGTACTAAAATCAGTGAATTTAAAAGTATGACCACGAGCAATGACATAACTTTCCTTAAGAAAACCCACCATGACATCAGTCAGCAGCGAGTTGTGGTAGTTTATGTTAATGAATCAAAATATATTAGTTTTGTGTTATAATAAAATTAAACACATGATGACATTGTGTTAGTAGCACTTAGTAATATTTTAAGGCTTTTCCTTATTAATTGAATGTTTAATTTCAGAGTTATATATATAACGTCTATACTGTTGGTAGCTAGTGCATGTTTCCCGGGTCCGCTGCATGTACGCCGCGCCAATGGAAAGTTCCCCAGTGATACCTTATCAGCCACTCGTCTCCGGCGTGCTCCACACTCGTACTACACCACGCTACATTCTTCATATACAGTGTAAACTCCATATAACGACACTCGATTTAACGACAAACTCTCTAAAGCGTCGAAATCATTTGACTTTGGTTGGTTTAGCTTGTCTACCATACAATGATACACTCTATATAGCGTCACAGCCACTCTCAATAACGACAAAATTAAGTAATAAAAAGTACCTTTTAAGTTGCTGAAATTAGTAAAAAATGCGCAGCTGTGTACGTTTTTTTGTCGCTTTGTTATCCTAACCCGCAATAAACTCCACTGTCGTAATCATGCATACCAAACTTTCTAAGAAATTCGTTCTTCACCAATATGCCTCAATATGGCAAGATATGAATAAAATGCGTAAAAAATACAACAACATTACTGGTGCAGCAAAACACGTCAAACAAAAACAACAGACTTCATAACATTCTTTTTTATGTACATAAGTACTAACAGTAGTCGGAAACAAACTTTGTCTTTTTCTAATTCTGATTTTTCTTCCCTCTATTTAACGGCAACTCTCTATAACGCACTAAAATGCACGGTCCCTTCAGTGTCGTTATATAGAGTTTACACTGTATATTTGGCAGGTCGATGACGTCTCGTATTAACGACTCCTTGTCTGATAACACGTATAATAAATTTCTTTATCATTGATAATTATTTTGTTGCATCTCTTGTTCTATGTACATTTCTCGTTTCATATGTATAACGATTTATAAAAGAATCATTAAATTATATCAAAATATTGTGTGTACTTTCATTATATATTTTAACTATATCTATTTCCAAGTATTTAAATACTTAATTGCATTAAGTATCATCAATAAGTATTTTAAATAACTCTTAATATATAATATATTTGTTTTCCTCGTCTTACAATGGGTTTTTTATACAAGCTCCTCTCTAAATATGTTCTTGTGCCTGACTTATAATTTCTAGTAAACACCACATATAGCCCTAGCGTTATGCATCTCATATGTATCAGTTGTTCTTGAATGTTCGCATGTGACGCTACAATCTAATGTTATAAGGTTAACGCTTGATACCGTCCCATGTGAGACAGGACCGTTCATTATGTACACTACACGTAGTGTACGATACACCAGTACATACAGTTACACGATGATAACAGCCGGAGACTAACTGACTGACCTCCAGCCTCGAGCCGCGTATTACGCTACGAGATCCGTAAACAACTCCACATATATTTAAACAAACATTAAGAATAACAACGCTGTATTTATAATGATAAGTGTACAGCGGTTCAATGAAGTTATCGCTGCATTGATATGTATAGTGTTATAATTGGGACATGGAATCAAACGTCATGCAACATGGCATCAAAAGCTAGATCTGGTCATCTTCGGTTCGATTCCTGATCATTTCGATAAGATAAATCGTTTTACGTCAATCACCTTCATATGTTCGTCCGTCTTATCCGAGTTGTATCTGACTGATATCAATCAGGTCACAGTAGATCCTCGGCTCGGTTCTAATATATCGTTTGTTTATACACCAGCGGGTGACGTCACACGAACGTGACCTCTAAACGTTACGGCCGGAGTCGCGGCCAGACACGTGATCTACACACTTCAACTTTTCTATCATTTAATAATATTTTTGTGTTTACAATAGACACTAGACACGACGTAGGTATATGTAAAGTAAATGTTCTTGAGACGATTCTATCTATGTACGTAGTATAGTCACTCAATATAATATTTCTTAACATAAGGTTATTACAATAATACATTATTCCGTCGATTGGTCAAGGTTCACGTTTGATCGAATATTTTCCGAGCTCCTTTCAATAGCGTGGGTTATTCAAGTCCAAGGTCGAATTCTGTCGTTATCGCGGTGAAAGGTTTTTATTGAACGCCCGAACGAATTCCCGTTTAGTAATCATAATTATTGAACGAGCGGCCCTCTCGGTGGCAGAGACACCTCGGAACATTTGATTATATTATATTGAGGATTTATGAGCTAGAGGTATTGGTTCACTATACATCTATATGTATGTAATATTCGTATTTCTATAGTAATCAGCCTCAAGTCGTCGTGAGATGTATTCAGTGACGTCACGGTGCGTTTCCTTCACCTTGACATTTGTATTGGTTTGTCGAACGTGTCGCCACTCGCCAGCGGAGCGAGCACTGGAGGGGAGTTAAGAACACGATCCATATAGCTATACCTGTTCTTGTATTACTAATATTAACCTACGTTTGTAGTATATAGATCAGGAAGACTACTTGCATATTACATGATATGATCTAGTATTAAATTTCGCATGAACCAGTTCTATAGTAAGCGTATGTATTGTGTCGTGAGAGTATTTCGTGCAGCTCGCTCGTCGACAGTCGGACCGC